ATACTTCGATTCTTTACGTAGCCAGTTGACAAAAAGCTCATTCTTCTTCATTATTGAGCAAGCATACGCACATGTAATTTGCTATATTAATGATTTAATAAATTAAAATAAATGTTTAAAAATTTTATCATTTTAAAAAGCGTTAAAACGCCTTTTTTGAAAAAAAAATCTTGGCGTTTTAACGTTTTTTCAGGAACTTTTGCCCCACCCCCGTCTCCCTGTCTTTCCCCCGCCACTGATCAATTTAAATGCCGAACAAAGTTGCTAATCCTATTGTGCTTCAAACTCCCACGCTGTTTCTCTTACGGGGCCTGGCTACCGCACAATGGTTATATGTGCAAACAAGTGCTTGGCTACCGCTATGTCAGTTAACTTCGGCGTGCTGAGTAGTTCAAGTTTGCTGAGAAGAAAGGACCAGTGATGTTTGATTTGTTTCTCCAATTTCTTCAAAAAAAGTCAAATTTTTTTTTCATTCTTAAAAAATGTGAGCTGTAACGGCTTCTCTGAAGAGGGTACTGCGCTGAGCAGCGCACTAACATGCAAAAAACAGCACAATGAAATGTTAAACACTACCTACTTTTCATCAAAAACGAAAACTTATCAAACACTTAGAAAAAGGTAATGCCGATGAAGCACACAATTGACATGATTTAGAATCAACCACGGACACATCTGTGAGTTACAGCAGCCCGTAACAAATGCTTGATACTTTTAGATCCTGACCTATCAGAACTATTCATCAACATTAGCGCAGCTCCTTTGTGCGAGGTCCTCGGTATTACTTTCGACTTGCTTCACGAACAAGTGCAGGATGAGCTAATCTCGATGATTTCCCCAAAAAGTGTGAATACTGAGTCCACAAAACAGCTGCCATTCCAAACACTAGCGCATCCAGGAGGCGACTGCGCCTCCTCAATGATTCCGAATTAGCACCAAAACTGCGTCGGACATCAAATGATGGCGCATGCCAGAGTAGTCGGTACTATTATGAGAAATGTGCGGCTTTATCTAACTAAGGCCTACTGTTAAGAATGTTCACATTTTAATAGTTTCATTTGTGCTAAAATCCTCGAAATATTTTATGAATTCCGAGCTAGAATATTTTCACCAAAAATTTCACACGTCCATCAGTGTGAAGTGAGCGTAAGCAAAAATTGAATTTAAATTTTCAGGGTCGTGTATCGACACGGGAAACCCTCGTAAAATTTTAGCCTTCTTTTTCTCCGGCTCTCGAACTGAAAATTTTCCCGCAGGCGATTTCACGTATCCATTTCGATAAGAACGAGGGGCACGTAGAAACAGAATCTGAAGTAGTTCGGTCACAAGTTGGCGAGAAATACATTCCTAAAATTTGCACGGTCGAAAACACCGGACGATAATCATACCAATATCATGCACACAAGTTGTGCAGTTCATTAGTATAGACACGCCAGAATTGCGACTTCTTAACAGCTGGCAAAATGCCAAAGTAAAGACTAAGCTAAGCAGGCCCCTTCAATTTCACAGGGATACTTACTATCCATGTGCGAGTGCAGAGGTACAAAATGAGCAATCGCGTACGCCTGTATCAAATTAGTGTAGAAAAAAACGATTTTAGGAGCTACTTTAGTTGGAAAGCTGAAATTTTCCGGGGATATGACGGCTTGTTTCCACGCGACCTCGCTACGCTATAAATCCGTACAAAAACGCGTGACCGCACCGGCATCAATTCTACGGTGATAGAGCAGAAAAAGCGGGAGACTCTGCATAGTTCCAGTGCTTTTTCAAGCTAATCGAAAACTTTTTATGCCGCATTTTCGTCTACGGTTGCTTGTCTGTTTGTCTGTCATAGAATTCTTTTAACATGTGGATAACTGACCAGAGCTTCTCGCGAGGCCATCAATTTATCAGTTCCTTCGCTGTATAACCTATGAACTCTGGCCTAAACCCGAGTTTTGCTTCTATGTTCAGTTATCTGTAAGAGTTCTCACTGAATGATGCTCGCAAGAGAAAGCGGATGGCACATCTATCTAGGAAGAGTTTTTTTCAGTTAAAACACAAATATGGCGAATGAAAACTAAGACTAAGTAAATCAGGCGGTAGTTTACTGTAGATGAATTAGGAGGACGACTGTAATCTCCAAAATAGTCACCTGAACAGTACTGCTGATTGTTTCCGCAGTGATCGTTCAATTCCACCATCAAAACTGACATGTTGAGCAGCGTGTTAGTTGTGATTACCAGTCCAGATGCATGGTGTGAAGCGACAGTAAATTTGATGCATAATGCCAAAAGATTGCATATCATCAACATAATCAATGATAAAATCACTTCTTTACCGAGCAAATAGCAAGGTGATTAGCAATAGACTAGAATTTCTGAACAACTCATACACATAAACAAGCAAGGAATCACAGCAATAACGCCACCCAAAAATTGTTCAAATTTTTTAGGATGTTTGTATACCTGCATGGAATAAAAGGAAATTTTTACATCAGGCATAATTCTTTTGAAATAAAAAATCATTCTTTTTTCTCTTCAAATGAAAGAATTATATAACCATCAATCCAAAAATTTATTTTACACTATTCTTTTCTTCCAACTTCAGCCTGGCAATCTTTGCAGCAGCATCCTCATCTTTTTCATTCGAATTCTCCAAATCTGGTACATCATCCACATCAAACAGTTCTTCATTAATTTCAACATTTTCAGTTACAGCTTCGGCAACCTGAAAAATTTTCGTATTAACCATAGAAATTACAAACGTCAGTCAGCGCTATAAAAAAATCAATCACTGTTAACTGAGGCTGGACTGGTAGATTAGCAGAGTAACGAATTCAGTCATCTCTTTTTAAAAGAAAACCAAGTAGCGCCTGCTACACAACCATAATCGCAAATATATTTTAAAATACAGACGTTTTCAGCATCAAAAAAAAAGGACATCGAACGCTTTCTTCATCGAAGGCTAAATTTTCTTACTAGTACTGAAGTAAATGCAATGGTTTTTCCGATGATCGAGGGAGAGGCAAAAGCAATTGCTACGACAAACAAGGGTCACATAAATAGCGTTTAAAACAAGCAGGACAAAAAAAAAAACCATTGGCTTTTCAGTCAAATATGTTCCCCAAGTGGGATGTGAAAGTAAATAAATTGCGAGGCGCACAAGGGCAGTCGGTGCGATCATGTGTTTTGTGCAATTCCTCCACCAAACGATTGCCCGCTTATGATTTCCACTGCTTTGCCTCTAATTTGCGCAAAAATTGTTCATAAGCTATGGAATTTTCTACTAGAAATTTCACGCAACGGCACGTGAAAGCTGAATTTGAAACCTTCGTGGGGTGAATATCCTTTCACATTTTCAGTCTGGTTTTCGAGTGATTTTCGCGACAAAAATTTCGTACGTGAGAGATCGGCAGATTAGGAACTGAATTCGAGTTTGTGAAGCCTCTGTTTAGGCAGGAAACATGCTCCAGAGATTTTTAGCCTCATAGGT